GCAAACTGTTGATTAAGTGGTTTTTATTGTTTACGGAAACCAATTTCAGGCTTTTGGTAGCAAATGTCATATATCAGGATTAACAATTTGCATGTCTCTAATTAATTAGTCTTTGACCTTTTAAATTTTATCACTAAGGTTTTATGCCATTTTTTTTCCCAGAAGTTTTGTAAATCGGTATTTAAATACAGAAAATAAAATGCCATCCTTAATTAGCTGTACCGGAGTGGCCAGCAGTTCTTTCCTCCGAGGTTATATTCTCCCCAGCAGCAGTGCCCGGGGTGGGCCCGATCCTGTCGTCATCCTCCAGGATACTTTAAAGGTCCGAGGAAGGGCTCCAGTTTCATATTTAATAAACAGGGGGAAATTGCGTCCTCAGCCCTTGCTGCCAACGAGTTGGGAAATATATGAATGGAGAGGGGGAATATCGTCTCCGGGTTTATCTGGCTGGGGCGTTTGACTGCGGGACAGCCTGCTCACCCCTTCCCAGCCAGAAGGAAGCTCGGCATCTCCCTCGCATCGCCCTCCTACTTCTGGAAAGCAGATGCGTGGCAAACGCAAGCATTAAAACGCTCTTTCAGCTTATTCACTTCGGGGATGTCCAGGTGTCAGATGACGAGACACCAGCGACCTGAACTACACCGTCAATTTAAAGGTAATGCAGTTCCGCATCTTGAGCCAAGCCAGCATGCGGCCAGGGAACCTCAGCCATCCTCTCTAAAACGAAGCGAGCGCCGTTTAGAAACAACCAAATCTCGGCTGCGGCACCCAGCGCGGTGCCGCAGGACCCCTTGGCCGCACGGAGCCCGCAGCGGTCTGGCTTTCCCGAGCAGGATCGACAACGACCTCGCTGTAGTGCTAACATTTCTAACGAGTTTTACGCTGAAAACAGGGTTGTCAAACGTCCAAATCAAATTCAAAGCAGGCAGAGACAGCAGGAGCGAATAGCCGTAAACCATAAAAGCTATTAGCCTTCTAATAAACCCGCAGGAAAAATGCGGAATACTGATTTAACCGGTCTTCGTTAGCACGAATCCGATTCCGCGCCGCCGGCCGGGTCAGCAAAGCCCGGGGAAGCGCACGGCTGGGTATTCCCTCGCAGTACCGCTACGCGGGAGAAAAGCACACGCATTTTCCCTACCAAACTCTACGAGAATTCAAAACCGGGGACCGCCTTAAAGTGCATCCATTAATTAAAACCCCGACATTCGGAAAAGGCACATCCGGAGGAAACTCGTTTCCCTCCCTCACCAAATCTCTCTGCCCTTATGAAAACGGGAACCAAAAGGCGGGGGGGAGGGCGTGTGAACTCGATTGAGCTACCGCTCAGCCACCGTTTTCGCCCTTCTCCTACTCCCCGGTTCGGAAAACATTCGGTTGTCTGATTCCCGGGGTTAATTTCGTTGCTGCCGGCGGCGGGGGCGGAGGGGGTGGG